TTATGAATCTTTCTTCTTCGCTCTTCTCTTTCTGTTATTTGAACTCGTTTCCGCGCTTTTTCTCCCGAGCGTATGTTCCAACTCCTAATTTTCTGTCTTGTCCTTACTTTTCATAAGACAAACGTTCACAAAGACGTGCATTACATAACAGATTCCCCCAATACTCTTTTGTACGACCTTGTCCGCTTTGTTTCGTTTTCAACGCAAGGCATATTTACGATATTCTACCTGTTTAAAAATTACGTTCGTACACTCTTTGTACTATTACAATTTGGTCTCCACCATTCACTTTTCACATTGTTTTACAATTTGATCATTCGCACTAGCATGCTTCGCGGGGGCTTCGCGAAACATACCGTTATTATTATTATTGTTACAAGCCCTTCATCGTAAAACCCTTGGATGGGGTGAACTTCTAGATGAGAATGACTGGCACACTTGAGAAACTTAGGTTAGTGTGTTAACAGCTTAAAGGAATTAAAGGTGCCGAGGTGTATGTGGAGTGAAAACCAAAGAGCCCGTGAGTCAGCCCAACTGCACATATTCAGTGAATTTCCACAGACTACTTGAGAGACAACATAAATTGTAATGTTGTATGTAACTTGGTTATGGCTAAATTCCGCGTGGCTCCACTTAAGGCTGTTACAATACCTAGGCTAGAGCTGACGGCTGCCGTTGTAGGGATTAAGTTATGTGATACCCTAAGCCGGGAGTTGGATATTTCAAAATGGCTTATTTTCCACTGGACCGATTCAACAATTGTGCTTTATCACATAAAAAACAGATCAGCTCGTTAAAACATTTATAGGCAACCGATTGGCTATAATACATGAAAGCTCAACATCTCAGCAATGGTATCACGTAAAGGGGACAATTAATCCTGCAGACTTCGGCACTCGCGGTCTGAAGGCGGACGACCCGGAGTGGGAAAGTTCGCTGCTAGAGCCGCCATTCCTGAGGAGCCTAGAAGAGATTCCTCCCTTCAAATTGGTCTCCACTGAGGAAATCGAAGGGCAGATTGAACCTAAGCGCACAGTAACTATCAACCAAACAACTGTAATGATAAGCGTCAATTTACTTTCATAAGATTTGCATTGGTATAAGCTGTTTTGAGCAACAGCTTGGTTGAGGCACTTTACGCGATATATCAACATAATGATTAGAAAAAAGGTGCCTTGTCACCACGGATGGGTAAACTGTCGACAGAGGGGATTCAGTTTGCATGCGACAATGTTATGCGTCTAGTTCAAGCAGAATCGTTCTCAGACGATCAGGTTTCGCTAATGAACCTTATAGGACACGTGCATACGGAGCCCCCTAGGTAAATTGTGTTCAATTTTAGTAAATGGAATGCTTAGGGTTGGTGTTAGACTGGATTTCCCGCATTTGCCACATGACGCAAAACACCCAGCTATCCTGCCCCCAAGATACCATATAACCGAACTTTTTACACGTCACTTTCATGAGAAGGAAGGTCATTTAGGGCTCGAGCATGTGTTATCTGAAATTAGGAGGCGTCTCTGGTAGTGTAACAGTAAGAGAGTTCTAAGCAAATTTATCCACTGTCGTAAGCAACTGGGTAAACCAGGGTGTCAGCTAATGGCTGCATTGCCTATAAATAGAATGGGTAGCCAACTGCCGCCATTCCACTCGGTTGATCAAGACCATTTCGGGCCATTTTATGTTATGTTATATTATGTTAAGCGGGGACGGTGCGTGGAGAAAAGGTACGGATGTATCTTCCCCTACATGACGATGAGAGCAGTACATCTAGAGATAGTGCACTCATACTCAACGGAATCATTCATCACGGCCCTGGATCGTTTCATAGCTCGCAGAGGCAAACCAGAGCACATATGCAGTGTTAATTTATCGAATTTTGTCGAAGCGACCAATGAACTGCGGGCTTGTTTGCGATCTTGGTCTCAAGATAAAATACATAATCATTTCCTGAACAAGGTTGTACAGTGGCACTTCAATCATATAGCGCCAATCATCGAGGGGGAGTTTGGGAAGGGCTAATTAAGAGAATAAAGAGAATACTGATGGCATTCATTATTGCAAAACAGGTGACAGACGAAGTGTTACTCACGACCCTGGTAGAGACTGAGCGCATAATGAATAATAGACTGCTCGTTCTGCAACAACTTGATTCGCGGGCCCACAAAGCACTCAAGCCATCAAAATTGCTTACTATAGGGCGGTGAGATGCGAGCTCTGAGGTGAAAACCACAGTAGATTGTTATAACCGTAAATGACGTGAAGTGCAGGATATCGCAAAGTGCTTCTGGAAGCGATGAACAATGGAATACTTGCCTTTACTCCAAATCAGATCCAAGTGGTGTATAAGACGGAATTTCACCGGGACATTTGGTAATGGTGGCAAAGGAAAACAAAACCAGGAATGAGTGGCCTTTGGGCATTATACAACAAACCAGAAAGAGTAAGTATGGGATCGTGAGAGAAGTGGAGATAAAAACCACTGATGGATCTTTCAGAGGAGATGTCAGAAATATCTGTCTTTTAGAAGGGGTTCTGGACAATGTTTCTGGTGGTGAGCATGTTATTGGTTGATTACAGAAAATGATACGTTTTATTGCCCTGTTGTATTTTGTGATGTCTCCCTTTTCCCACCTACTGAGACGAACTATTTAATCCCTTATCACTGGCGCTTTTCATGGAACCGTTGGTCTCTAATTTAATACTTCTCATTTTACTAACAAATATGCCCCTCTCGTTTGTTTATCTCTCTAAAATTTCTATACTTCTAAAAACGAACACTTTCTGTAATACCACTCACGTGACAATCCACAAGCAAAAATAATCCTGAATGTTCGGCTATTCAAGTTGACTGAAACATTTTGAGCACAACTGTGAACTTTGACACTTTACCGAGAAATGCCGAATTTACGAACGCAATCAGCAATTGGTAATTCAGACGTTTGCTTACGAATTACGGTCATTGACCATTTATTAGTGTGTTATGTTTCATACTTTATCTTAAGTTTTGCTATTACTCTTACCGTCACGGATTGGGAGCTACACCGCCGGGCAACAATGCAGCTGTACAGGTTTATGGCTTACTCTTGGCTAACTTATTTGCCACGAGTGTACAAGTCCCAGCTTTGGATAGAAGTTCGCCATCAATCCAGGTGAACATGGAATGCATAACAAGGTTAATTGAAATATCAGTATCGAAAAGAGCAGGAGAACATCTTGACTCATCGACATCTAATTGATACTTAGCTACGATCAACGCCACAGTTGCAATCGCCACAGATTGCCATCAATGACTGCATGTTGTAGTCACCGGCGGCTTGACTAGCTTTTCACAAAAAAGGAAAAGGAAAACCCCGTGTTCACCAAATCCCAACTTCATCGAAAGGTATGCTTGATCGATTTTCATATCGTGATAATTTGTTCGAAATTGTCCACGTTTGACGAGCGACAGTGCTCGAATCCTAAACCCCCGCCAGTCGGAGCATTCAATCCACTTATGTTAATTTTACTGCAACCGACCTATTCTCCTCCGGTATCTGGCACTATCATCAGGCGGTCTAACCAACAAACATGAAACGGGCATTAGAAAAATGATGTAATAGCAATTATCCCATGAGCGTCTACAAAATAAATGACGCCACTGGGTACTCAAAATCAATTTTTCAAGTGCCAATTAGAGACATTCCATTTGAAATCTATGCAGAAAACGACAAGAAATCCCTGCTCGATTGGTAAGCGATGTGACGGTTCTCAACAGCTTTTTTACACACTACTTTTCTGATTCCATTATCTTACTTTTCTTATCTCTTCTTTCTCATTTATCAACTCAACGCTTAACAGTCTTCTTAACCGGCCTCCGCATTACCCGCTCGGTATCTCTGAGGTTTCGCTCCGTGATTTGCTCTATTGTCTGTCGTTCTGTAATTGGGACCTACGACGATTTCGTAAGTCGCAAATATGTATTGATGTATGCCTATAATAGAAACGAAATTTCAACTGACGTTCAGCTGTTTTCCCACGTGGTGGAAATTCGGTCAGTCGAAGTCGAGACATTGCGATTCGTATCGAACATTGCCGTTACACTAGGATGCTTGCTTTTTCTCACATCTATCAACGATCTGGCACAGGATCTTCAAAATCCGTGTTTCACGTTTTCTGATGATGTCAAAATGACAGGGTCAAACCTGCGAAGGGATCTGAAGGTTGGAGCTGTTGTCCTCATGTCCGACGGAAAGCTGCAACGCGACGACTGGCCACTGGATGTAGTCATAGAAAGCCACACGGACTCAGATGGACTAGTAAGAACAGTCAAATTGAAAACATCTGCCGGTGAACAGTTGCGCAATATTCGACGAGTATGTTTATTGGAGGGAGATGATCACCATGCCGTTACTTGATGGATTTGCGGAGACCCGCCGTGTATTATATTGACTTACCTGCCCCCTGTACCAATTGCGCCCCAGTGATATTCACCCTACTTGTATAAACACGTGCTTCCACGTCCTTGCCATACGTCTTCTTCATTTCATTTTGTGAATGAATGTACTTTTATCAAATTGATACAAACTTTATGATAATAATATCGGAATTGTGACCCATTTCCTCTCAATATTCATGCATTTACATACACACAATCACCTGCATGCTGAACATGATTTCATTTGTAAAAATGGAACATTAGTTACATTGCCCATGTTCCTTCTCCTTGTTTAAACATCGAGCCTTTATCTGTAATGATATTCATTTGACCCACTGCTGTCAATTTACCGCGCGGCTGGCTGCAAGCGTGCTGATGCAGAAGGCAGATGTCGACGAAGGCATGTGCAAGTCGTCGGAGGTCAAGATCAACCAGTGCGACGAAGGCTGAACAGTTCGTAGGTAGAAGCACTGACATCAGGGACTGGGTAGGTAGATAGGCAAACAACAATCAATGAGCCTTTGACTCAGACGAACGCAAGAAGCATTTTGGAGGCCGGTGTATTTCCTGTTGAGTTTTTAAAAATCCTTCCAAACCCATGATGATTTATGGTGACAACTCTATCTGTATGTTGCTTATCTATTAATATTTCTCACTCACAAAAACCATACACATTATTTATCCGTTAAATCGATGCCCGGCACATTTGAATTTGGCGTGGTCAGAGAACGAGAGCGACTGTTTGGCTCTCTCTGGATGTAATATTTGGCTCGCTCGCTGGAGTGCATTTGGCCTCATATTTGAGGTTTGCTTTATTGTACATTTTGTAATGATTTCGTGAATTCAGTACCGTAGAACATTACGGATCAATCGTGTTTTATTTCAGGATTCGCATCGGTTCGGCTACGCGTCACTCAAGTGCGAATTAGTTGACTTACAGGCAAACCCTATTATGACGTCAGCTATTGGCTGGACAATAGCTGGGTGGATTTCATCCGGGCCCGCCACGTTATGCTTGCCCAGGTTTCTGAGCACGGTCGGTACCTCCTCACGAATAACATCCGCAGTTCGTTTCCAATGGTGTACACCTGAAGGTTCCGGGCTCCATCACCCTGGGATGAAGGAGAGACACTTTTAAAGTAGTCTATCAGCGTCTCAGCCCAGTCGTTATCTGTACTGGCCATGTTACCGTTCGCCATCTCCAAGCTTCCAACGCTTTCACGTGTGGTTTCCTTGGACTGTGTATAGATAAAAAACCTCTTCGGGTTTGTTTTGATTTCTCTAGCTAGTTTCATTTCGTACTCGTACTTAGCTTCCCTCTGCCTTGTCTGTGATTTATTTCTGGCCAACTTGTAGTTAACGCAAGAACTATGTGTTCCGTGAAGCTTGTAGAAAGCCCAGCATCTTCTGCGCGATGTGAGCGCTCTTTCTATTCTAGTCAACCACCAAGATGGTCTGCTTCTGAATCTGCGAGGCACCAAGGGAGCAAACTATTGCGTTAACCGTAGCAACCCGTCCCGAATTGCCACACATCGTTCTTCGACTGATGGTGCAAGTGAAACAGGAAACCAGCGTATGCTCTCCGCAGCTACCTTTAGTTACTCTTCGTTGATCCTGGCGTAGTTTCTTACTAGCTTAGCACTCAGCCTATTGTGTCTCGCAACAAACTTTAGTCACAGTACCCCATGGTCACTTTTCCCTAAGGGTTCTTCCGTCATAAGAGAAGTGAGGTCTGTCCTGTACCTAGTTATAACTAAAACTAATGTTGACGGACGATGGCCACCTCTGAATCGTGTGGGTATT